TGGAGCCACCACCACAGGGGCAGACAGGTGGTGTGGGCACAAGAACAAGATGAACTGTCAGAGACACACCCACCTCCTTGATCAAGGGCAATGGTAAGAACTGGTGCCAAACTGCTGCTTCTGGAAGAGCCCTGGCCTGTATATGGGGATGTGATGCACTAGAGCTGCCCTGCAAACACCACCTGTGCCTGTAGGCTTATTGGTCTACAACGCTTTCTTTCGGCTTGCTGTGCTTTTCGAATACCTTGGGAAATCCCAGACAGTTTCTACCTTACCAGATTTAATAGTTCTATATCGTATGTGTATAAGTGTGGGGGACATATTTTTGTGTTTTTGACAGTACTGGAACTAGCTTGTTGTAAACGAAACTTACAAATCCTCAAAACTTAGATCAAAACTCTGGTACCAAAGTACTATGTAATCTACCTAGAATAAAGGTTTTTACTTTTTAATTCAAAGTAATTTATCTCTGTATGAATTGACTTGTGATGCATAAAAATAAAAGCAGGGAGGGGCTGGCCCAGTGGCATAATGGTTAAGTTCAGCGTGCGTTACACTTCAGAGGCCTGGGTTCACAGGTTCGGATCCTGGACGCGGATATATATCACTTGTCACCCACGCTGTGGCGGTGACCCACATACAAAATAGAGGAAGATTGGCACAGATGTTAGCTCAGGGCAAATCTTCCTCAAGCAAAAAAAAAAAAAGGAGGATTGGCAACAGACGTTAGCTCAGGGCTAAACCTCCTCAGCAAAAAAATAAATAACAAAAAATAAAAGCAGGGAAAAGCACATTTAATATGTTTACATGGCGGAAAACAGCTCATTCAGCATATATGATGGACAATGCCATTTTTCTGTGGTTTTTGTTTATTTATTTTGCTAAGTAGAGATGCAATTTTTTTTTTTCTTTTTTTGTGTGTGAGGAAGATCAGCTCTGAGCTAACATCCATGCCAATCCTCCTCTTTTTGCTGAGGAATACCGGCCGTGAGCTAAGATCTATTGCCAATCCTCCTCCTTTTTTTTCCCTTTTTCTCCCCAAAGCCCCAGTAGATAGTTGTATGTCATAGTTGCACATCCTTCTAGTTGCTGTATGTGGGACACGGCCTCAGCATGGC